AATAATTGTGATTTTGAAATCAAATTATGCTTGTGCCAAATGTGAATGTTGACCGAATGGGAGCCAAGTAGGTGAACATTTCCTTTATCAGACGTGTTCGGTTATCTTGGAAATTATCAATCAATTGTTCCAAGTTTAGGGTATTCCAAACTATTATTCTAGCTTAGAGATACTAATGAATCTAATAGATGCGAACGGGATTCCGCCTCAACGAATGCGCTTAGTATGTGAAGCAAATAAAGGATGTAGCTTTCGTTGTTCTCACTTTCATTCAGAACTGTATGGCGACCCAATGTATGCCCCTACAAAGACATGCGGAGGCCGGATGATGTGCAAACAGCCGGGGCGAGTCGCACCAGTTTAGTGTCCTTGAATGACTGAAGGGCTTTGTTGGTAGAGGCGGAGCGCATCTGATACTTTACCCCCCCCCACCCCGCCTGATTCCTGATTCAGCACTTACCTGCAGCCCGCTTAAGGGTTACGACAAACGAAAGGATGTGAACTCACGTCATTAGGTTCGCTAGCGTACGGTGCGTACTGTCCATTATTCGCAATGCTGCGATCAGCACAGTCCAACCAGTCCTCTCCGAGGAGATCAGCCAATTCTTCACTACCGTAACCAACACCGAGATCCATTTGAAATGATCCTGGTTTGAGGCAACCGTCTAAAAAGTACCGCACGCAGTGATGGATGCCAGAGGTTGCTGTCATAGGTGCAGTACGTTGAAACGAAGAAACCATCACCTTGATCATCACGAAGGACAGCCATTAAGTCGTCAATGTCCTGAGAATAGGCAATGGGAGTTTGCTGCAACAAGAATTTGACTGGAAGCAAGGTATAAAATACTTCAAGCATCTTTGATTTCTACTCATAGTACAGTATGTCACTCCAAATGAAGTTTCTCAGCGAGAAAAAAAACTTCCCCTCACCCCATAGTCTATTATTGAACATGTTAGAACTGGCGCTGAAAAACGTCAGCGTAATGAACTGAGGATGAGAGTCGAGATAAAAAGCAATTGCCTTGATACATATGTGTAAGTATAACATGTTTTGGTCGAGCATTTGCGATATTCGAATACGATTTCGTCGCAAACCAGGGAGGGAGGAGGGGGTGGCAGCGTAATGAAGCTTGGAGTGGGCACTGCCCGCAACTGATTTTTTTTTGTCAGCGATGTTCAGTCCAGGTAGAAGACAACTAGTGGTAGGAAACGCATAGTGTACCATTAGTTGTTTTCTAGTCAACTCGGCCACTACTGGTAGAAAGCGGAGCCGCGAGCAGCTCTCCACGTCCCCTACCACCGCCCCGCCGAATAGCGACGCATTAACAATATTCGGTATCGGAGCAAACATTGAATCCCTCGGTTACCAGTTACTTTTTGTGAGGTCATCAGTACCTGATCGCAGCTCTGCGTGTTGTTCAACGTCTTTTGCGTTGGGTGTTGAACTACATTAAATGTATCGACTGTTGCTTGAGTTATAACGTGCTGTGGTTGAGCGACACCTTGTTGAACTGAACCCTCGATCTCCATTTCAGAGAGCTGCATCTGAAAGTTTTATAACCAGTGCACTATATTACATTTTCCCAGCATCGGGATGAAAGAGAACAAATATTGGCTGTACTCGTGCATTCACAATACAGGAAAGTTCATTTGCTTGGAAGCAATGCACAATGATCCGACAGAAAGTTTTCATGAGCTGTAAATGAAACCCTTAATCTTCTACTGCCCAACCTCGGTGCAGGGATAGCCGAGTGGTTAAGAGTGTAGGCTCATGTCTGCACTCTGAGCCACGAGTTCGATCCCTGCCGAGGCACAAACCTGCCTTGCAAAAATTGCGAAAAATGATGCCGATACGCGTCAAGCCCAGGTCATCAGGCCGGCTGATTGAGACCTCCATAACATCATGAAAAGTCGCAGAAGTGGCAGTGCTGATGCTAGGACGTCACCCGGAAGTGGCGCGCAGAACCCTCGCCCGAGTTCTGTGGTCAGTATGCGAGGGCTACCGAGGGGTGAGACCTCGGCCAAAGAAGCTAGTTCGAAAAGGGACCTTAAACGTGGAGTGCTTGTTGAGAACCGTTGGGAGATTGGCGACCTCATGAGACGCAGGAATATCAAAGTCCTGTGCGTGATTTGATATTCTTGTGCCTTACGAGGTTGTTAGGTGGAACATTTATTAAAAATGGCCTAACGTTTCGACTTAATCGTCGTCTTCAGAGGCCTGAATGTGTTTCAAGCATTAGATATGCAACCTACCCCACCAAGCACCTCGTCAACTCTAGCGGTTCCGACGTCGTGTCAGGAACCCCTCGAGAAGACGCCAATATCGCAAGACAGAGACTCACCAGTGGTTCCACCGTTTGAGCGGATAGGTCCGCGGCCACACTAGAGCGCTGTCAGTAGAAAAATGAAGAATACGACGTTGTCTCCGTATAATGACATATCAGGAGACGCACGTCACGCTCTGTCATTCTACAGTCCGCAGTGGGGTATAAACGGTAGCAGGATTTGTGACTGCAATACAGGGGGGGGGGGGCAAAAAAAAGTCACTTTGCTTCATTGACTTTCGAGGCGCTATAAGTTACACTTTATAAATTCTGATCGGACATTTCTACCACCATATTAAAGAGCATATTAAATACTATTATGACACTCCGCCACAGCCTTCTGGAGGAGCGCCATCGAGAGATTCTGGCACGCAACCGCGATGTGGTCCCTGAGATCAGCGAGATAGTCGATTTCTCCGCCACCGTAGACCACCCTATTGAACTCCGCCCTAATTGAGGGGATTCAGGTCAGGTGACCTACTTGGATATTCCATCTTCTTTAGGTACTCAGCCCCCTTCCATTCCAAGTAGGCGAGAGTTTCTCCAACGCCCTTCGATTCCACGTGGTGGCACCCAATGCTGTAGCAGTACAAAGTTTCCAAGAAGGTACGGGCGACGACATGTGGGGAAGATATTCTTCTTGAGTTGCTCGATGTAACCGCCAGCGCTCAGCTTCAGCCCGGGAAGAAAATATTGGTCTTTCCATTCCAGGTGCGTCCGGTCCATACCATCAACCCGCGCCTTGGCGACTGCCGTGAAGATGATGTCCTAGACCGTAGCGACGTTGTCGGAGCTGCTCGATGTTGGAGGTCTTCCAGATTGAGAGTACTGGTCTCCAGGTAGCTACCCATGGGTGACTCCACACTAGAAGTTTCGCAGCTGTTTGGAGGTGACATGAATTCCAAAGGTCTTCTCCAGTCAGGCTGCGACTGGAGATGACTTCATATTTTGGTGTACATGAAGGTGATGGGCGAGCCAGCTCCTGCTTATCGAGGAACATCTTGGGTATCTTCCGCCCTGGTACTCGTATCCACGTCTTCTCTCTGGGCTGCGAAAACTTTGCTGATATGTGACTCGGTCGAAGTGACTTTTTTTGCCCCCCCCCCCCTGTACACTCATCTCGGCTTGTTCATTCTGGGTTTTCTAGTGAATATCCAGAATGCTTCCAACGCTTTTCTGGCTGAAAGTTCCGTCTCATTTGCCAGCACACTGCACTTTATTTCGAATTCGATCCCATCATGTTCCACAACCTTATGCCTCCCGAGAGCAGTTGTAAGGGTACCGCGTCTCATGCTAGCAAGATGTTCCTTGATGCGATTGATTGATTGATTGATGCGAGTAGCCAAGAACCTTCCTGTTTCCCCAATATATGTGGAGTTACATGCCTGACACTGGATTTCATATATTACTCCCAACTGCGCACAGTCACCAGTTTTCCCGTGTGGGCAAGTAACACAATTTTCTGATATGCACTGCTTGTCGTAGAGCCTGTTACGGACCAGCTGCTGTTTGATGTTTTCATTTGGTATATTTACCAACTGGACATCGTCCTGCAGCTGTGCTCTTGCTATGCTCCGTTTGATTGCAGCGCTTACCACATCAGAAATGAAGGGGATACATAAAGGTATCTTGTTTCGACGCGGTACGCCTTGTGGACCAATATGCCGCCTTCCCCGAGGGCGTGGTGCCGTATAGCCATTCATAACGGCTATTTTTGTGGCAAGCTCTCGTGATTCTTGTCGTTCTACATCTCCTGTGCACATTCCCGTTGCCGTTCGGAACATGTTTCGGACAACAGCGCGTTTCACAGCAATCGGGTGTGCTGATGTAGCGTGAATCAGGATGTTTTTCGAGCTGCTCTTACGGTACCATTTAACTCGAGTGATACCATTGGATACCTTGACTTGCGTGTTGAGAAATGGCAGCCAACCGTTTTGCGGGGTTTCTCGTGTCAGCTTAATGTACTGTGACTGTTCATTCATCAATCGGAAACACTCATCCATTTCGGACTGTGTTGATGTTACGATGAAACAGTCGTCTATGTATCTACAGTACATTAAAGGCAGCGCTCGGTTCTTCTATTCTACCCATAAAGCAGACTTGCGAGAACTGGTGCAAGACGCTGACCCATGGCTAGCCCTCTAATTTGAGAATAGTATGTACCTGCCCATTTAAAGATGTTACAGTTCAAACATTCCTTGATTAGAGTCATTATGTGCGCTTTACCAAGTCCAAAGGTTCGTATATTAGCAATATGCCTGTCAAGCATTTCGGATAATGCTTGAAGGGCTTGCTCGTTTTGGACATTAGTATAAAAAATGATTTGTGTTTGGCAGGTGAGAGGGAACCATGGGTAGAAGCTGACTGACGATGGTGTTAAGAAACCACGATATTCGGTAGGCCCACCCACGCAGCTTATGATAGGACGGATCTTATATGTATCCGCTGGCATTGGCAGCATATTTCCATGAGAGGCAAGTTTATGGGTCTTTAAAAGGCTATAGAAAACCGGACAGTTCGGGTTGTCCAGTTTGAGTCTACTAATGAACTTGTCATCGAGTCCTGCAGATTTTCCTATGCACAACCAGGTGCGGTTGAGTCGTTTGCATTGTGATGAGAAGACCTATCCGCTTGAACGGTGGAACCGCTGGTGAGTCTCTGTCTTGCGATATTGGCGTCTTCTCGAGGGGTTCCTGACACGACGTCGGAACCGCTAGAGTTGACGAGGTGCTTGGTGGGGTAGGTTGCATATCTAATGCTTGAAACACATTCAGGCCTCTGAAGACGACGATTAAGTCGAAACGTTAGGCCATTTTTAATAAATGTTCCACCTTGCAACCTCGTTAAACATGCCGAAGTTGCAAGAAGAGAGAAGCTGGAGAAAGTCCTTGTGCCTTCAGGAAACGCGCTCTAAAATGCCCGCGAGATAGGGGAGGGATTGATCTCTTCTGCAATGCAGAAGACACCAAACGGAATGGTGTGGCGATAGCGGTGGCAGAATACTTCAAGGACTGCGTCTCCTCTGTGAAAAGGATTAGTGATTGGACCATGGAAGTGAGAGTAAACATAGAGGGGGTGGGGAACTGGACAGTACTGACCGCCGTGTACGCACTGCAATTCGGTTGCTCAGAGCTGGAAAGGGGTGAATTCTACGTGATCCTGAACGAGGACCTAAGATCAGTTCCGGAAGATGACTATCTATCTCACCATAGCCGGTGAACTGAGCAGCCGCGTAGGAAGTGCAGAAGGTGTCTAGAAAGGGTCCACGGAAGCCGAGAAATAGGAGCAGGAACGCTGAGGGTGAACGGATACTTGACCTAGCCACAGCCCCCGACTTAGCAATCGCCAGCACCTTCATCGCGAAAAGAAAGGCCTAGCAGGTAATCTACAGCAGTAGAGGGAGACAAACATGAATCCGACCACTGCTGAGATTGGCGTCTCTCAAAACCGTTAAGGATAACTAGGTACTGTGTGGAGAAGAGCGGGGCCTCAGCGGAGAAGAGCGGGGTCACAGGCTTCTCCTGGCAGACATCGCCACAGAACTTCCCAAGAAAGCGAGGGTAAGAAGGAGCGTAGAATTCGGTTGTGTAAATTGTAGAAGCTAAAAAATAGGCTTGGCTGAAGAGTAATGGAGGCGCAGGATCGTAAAGCAGAGCGCTGACTAAAGACAAGGAGCCCACAAGGTCTCGCTGCCCACGAGAGATGCACGCGACTCATTTGGGGAACCGTTGTCAAGGCTAAGAATAAGGAAATAGCGCCTTGTACGAGGAGCTGGAGGGCGGAGAGAAGGACAAGGTCGTCTTCCGTCTGGCTAAAGCCCCGCTCAGGACATCAGGGTACTAAAGACTCAAGAATAGCAGCTGTGGCGTTCTCAGGAAAGTAGACGAAGTCAGAAAGAAATTGGAAGAATATTTGGAAGGACTCCGAATGAAGAATCTCCCGCAAGAACATCGCATTGCTAGACGGCAGGTCCTATCACCCCAGGGATAGATGATGAAGTCTGCCGGGAGTTAGGAACGATGAAGGTTGGGAAGGCGGTAGCTTCAGATGGTACCGATAGAGGCGTGGAAGGCCCATTGGAACGAGTGGGGTGAGTTGGCTCACACACTTCCTAAACAACGTAACAGCTGAAGGAAGGATGCCGAATGCGTGGAGGAGCAGCACAATCGTTCCCATCTTCAAACAGAAAGGAGATGCGACGGAGTGATCCAACTCCCTAACTCGCAGGAGCGTTCAGCTTTATAGCTGATGCCATCTCAATTGCTATACAGGTGAAGGAGAGAAGCGACGATTCTGCTACCTAGCGATCCTGGACACTGAGAGGGTATTCGACCGCCTGCCTCGGTCTGTACTCTGTAGAGCGCTAGAGAACGAAATGTTCCGGAACACCTCTCTATATAGTGAAGGATAGGTACTATGGAGCTGAGGCAGCAGTAGCACCCTTCACTGCTTGATAAAGGATGTAAACATTACGGTTGGGGTACACCAAGGATCAGCCCTCAGCCCGTTCCTCTTCCTCCTGACTCTGGATGTCATGGCGAAAGAAGGCGTCATAGACGTGCCTTGAGAGTCATGCTCTACGCTGACGACATTGCCCTGATAGCGAATAGTGACGTCGTTTCCCTGATAGCGAATAGCAGGGAAGAACTTCTGTGCAATATGGAGCGGTGGCAGGATGTGCTCGCTGAGAAGGGACTCCAACTGAAGGTCAAGAAGAACAAGGCTATGAGCTCCGAATAGTGCACTGTATCCATCCTAGACCGAAGCGGAGAAGGCATCGAGGATGATTTCTAGTGCCTGGGGCGATATACAGCTGACGATAGCATAGACCGGGCAATAAAGCCTGGAGTTAATGCAGCCCGGATGAAATGGAAGGAGTCCACAGGCAGCCTGGATGAAATGGAAGGATGCCTGTAGACTCCTTTCATTTCATCCAGGCTGCATTAACTCTAGGCTAGAGAACGCTGAAGAGCAAGGTGTAGTGGGCAGTAGAATTAGGCCTGCTATGCTCTACGGCAGCGAGTGGCAGAGTTTAGTATTGGGACGCAAATGTGTTAATAATGTAGGCTTACGTCTTGTCTGCCCTTAAAGGGCTGCGGGTTTAATTCCTACTGATGCAAAAACAGTGCCCCAAAAAATGGTGCCAGTACCACCATCAAGAATAGGTTGACATGCAGGCTTAGGTTAGAATTTGCAGAAAGGTCAAATACAGCTGCTGCTGCTGTGTCTGGGAACCTCGCGTGCGTTTGCGACGCATAGTGTGCATTTGTGTAATCTTGTATACAAATGCGCCTTTACTTCAGAAAATAGTGATCTTAATATCGCCTTTTTGCACGTTCTTATCCATCGATTGAGGTTAGCGTGGATGTTCATTGTATCCATTGGTTTCGTGATCGCTAGGATAAGCTAGCCTATAGCAGTGAGGATGTAGGGTCTATATCCCCTCCAAAACTTGACTACGGTAGTTTTTCTTAATTTGAAGTCAGCATTCAGAAGTACATCGCGTCGGAGATGTGATTCTATCTCCTTTTTCTTCTCCTTCCTCTCCTCAGCGTTAGTCCCGTGCCGTTGCAGGGTCCGATGTTTTTGGCAGACGTTTCCGATCCACTGCTTCTTCTGCCGTGGCATTTCACTTCAGTGAGGTCCTTCTTGATGACGTCCCTCCATCTTTTCTTTGGGGCTCCTCGTGGTCGCTTGCCCTCTACTTCGAATTCCAATGCCTTCCTTATTGGGTGGTCTTCAGGCCTCCTCAGTACGTGCCCATACCATCGCAGTCGCTGCTCTCGTGCCTTCAGCTGGATCGGAGCCGTCTGTGTGACCGCCCTGACGTCCTCGTTTCTGACTCTGTCGAGTCGTGTCCAGCCGCAGGCCCATCTCAGCATCCTCATTTCAGCTGAGTGGAGCTGCCTTTCATGGTTCTTGCAGATGGGCCAGCACTCACTGCCGTAGAGCATTGTAGGCCTTACCACCGCCCGGTACACCTTGCCCTTGAGCGTTCTCGAGCACCGCCGGTCGCACAGGATGCCAGTGGACTCCCTCCATTTCATCCAGGCTGCGTTGATTCGGGCCTTCACCGCCTGGTCCACGCTGCATCAGCTGCTAGGTCGCTCCCCAGGTACTGGAAGTCCTCGACCCTTTCGATGCTCTCGCCATGGCAGTCTACGATGGGCATTACACTCTTCGGAGCTCAGGAACTTGGTCTTCTTTACGTTCAGCCGGAGTCCATTCTCAGCGAGCACATCCTGCCACCGCTGCACCTTGTTGGAGTTCCTCCCTGCTGTCCGCTATCAGGGCGATGTCGTCAGCGTAGAGGATGGTTTTCAGTGGTCCCTCCATGAGTTCTTTTGCCATGACATCTAGAGTCAGGAGGAAGAGGAACGGGCTGAGGGCTGACCCTTGGTGTACCCCAACCGTAATGTTTACCTCCTTTGTCAAGCCGTGAGGGGTGCGTACAGCTGCTTTAGCCCCATCGTACATGTCCTTCACTATGGAGACCAGGTGCTCCGGAACGTTACGTTCTCTGAGCGCTCTCCAGAGTACAGGCCGAGGCAGGCGGTCGAATGCCTTCTCAAGGTCCAGGAAGGCTAGCAGGGTCGCCGCTTCTCTCGGTACTTCTCCAGCTGTCTGGCGATGAAGATGGCATCAGTGGTGGACCTTTCGGGCATGAAGCCGAACTGTTCCTGCGAGATAGGGACAAGCTCCCTCAGCCTTGTGTTGACCAGGCAAGATACAACTTCATGGCATGGGGAGTCAACTTAATGCCGGTAGTAATGTCTAATATCTACCTCCTTAACAAGCAGTGAGGGGTGCTACAGCTGCCTTAGCCCCATAGTAAATATCCTTTACTATGGAGACAGGTGTTCCGGAACATTTCGTTCTCTAAGCGCTCTACCAGAGCACAGACCGAGGCAGGCGGTCGAATACCCTTTCAGTGTACCAGGATGGCTAGGTAGAGTCGTCGCTTCTCTCCGTCACGTCACCTGTTAGCAATTGAGATGGCATCAGTGGGGGACCTCTCAACCATAAAGCCGAACGCTCCTGCGAGTTAGGGAATTGGATCACTCCATGGCGTCTCCTTACGGTTTGAAAATCAGGCGAACGGAACACAATTACTAAGGGAACTATTTATTCTACGTTAAAGCCGAACACCATCTAAATAAGACAGGAAATAATTCATAAAACAATTAGTGGTGTTCGCTTTCTATGTTGTATCAAACTAACCTTACGCCAACTCAGAGCTATTTTCCTTATGTCGAGTTCAAAAGAAGTGCGTGTCAAGGGAACACTAATCAGTGTTCCGTGTGTGAACGGGTCCACAGCTGCACAGGCGTTTCACATTCGTCGCTCATAAGTGCGCGGAAATGAAGTGTCATGGTAGCTGGATGCCGTTTCGGATTCCACTCTTAGCAAAGGACAGACATGCAACATGCCGCGCGCCAGGCATACTAACAAAGCCAAGCGAGCTACTCGTCTGCGCCCACCTACCTGGTTGTTCTCACCTCTGACAGCGTGCTTTCAGCTTGCCAGTATGTTCGCGGGACCTTGGTACCGACACAAGCGCCGCACGCTGTGATAGCGGGTCAAATCCGAAACAGCGTCCAGCCCTCCAGCTCTATTTCTGCGCTTCTTTGTGTAATGGAAGTGGACACTGCTGAAGCTATGGGCCCGTCCACATTGCAAAAGAAGAGAATTTATTCTGCAGCTCGCGACTGTACAATGTGGAAAGTAGCACTCAGTTACAAATCCATAGTCGCTACACTCCACGAGAAAAAAGGCGAAAAAAACCACGAACAACATCTAAACAGAAGACCTAGCAGACTTCTTGTACATGGTCTCGGGATCTGCTCACTTTATGCCAGCAAAGCGATATCCTGCCACCTCCAGCCCAATAATGGTTTCTCTGCTTCTCCCAATGCTAATACCATTTAACAAAAAAAAAACGGAAAACGTGGTGTAAAAACTGAACTTGTGACAGAAAATAGCCTTTGGGATTCGGTGGGCGGGACAGCTGGGGAGGCGTCAGAAATGCCACTTATAAGGCAATAGCGCCTTCGTCACTTATTGTGAAGCCGCAAAAGCTGGAGAATCTTGGAGACTGCACGCCAGACAAGTTGTACAAGGGAGGATGTCTAAAGGTTGCTCGAGTGTGGGGACTGTCATTGAGCAATTGCGAAGACGCGTAGCGTGAGACATACACGCTATCTGCAACTGCTTAACGGCTACCAAAGGCACCTATTCAAAGAGTGATTTGCAGGAAAAAGTGACATACCGGTTGTTGCCATTGTTGATGGCACACTATCATTGCCTGTTGAGATTGCGGAACGTTATTCGTCATAGTACAATCGACACTCTGAAGTAAATGAAATCCAATCAGTTCACAAGGTAGGCTCGATTCAGCGATTTATCTAGGATGTAACTTCTTCTTGGACTAGAGAATGATATACACCTGAGCTGCTATTGTACCATTTCCCATCGCACGGGAAGCATCCTCAAGCACACTTTTGAATATTTCCTCCATATCTACAGTTTGTTGTTTCCCATCTCTGATGACGGGCCTGAAGCATTTGAATAGTGATATGCACTGTTAAGTTGAGACAAAGGTTGAGCTTACATTTACTTACCCATTTTGATGGTAAATCACAGTCTCACCAGGGTGTAGTTGCAATTCAGATGCATCACATATGATGATAGACTGAAACAAATCCTCAACTTAGGAATCGAAGATTGAGAACCGTATACGCTTACATTACGGCTTGTGCAGAATCAGCTAACTATTCACCAGGGAAGTCCGCCAACTTACCATGGAACTTTGAATGGAGACCTGGGTAGATCGATAGAGTCTATAAGGTTATTTACAAATATAGATAGCAAAACTGCAACCTGCATTTCACAAGCAACTTATGAGCAGGTAAGTTTGTAATGGTGCAGTAGGGTGGAGGCTTGGTGGTGAGCTGTGAAGCATAAGCGAGGAATCGCATATGTCGAATCGAGGGGTTCCTCGCTTATGCTTCACAGCACCCCACTGCACCATCACAAACTTTACCTGCTCATAAGTTGCTTGTGAATGCAGGTTGCAGTTTTGCTATCTATATTTGTAAATAACCTTATAGACTCTATCGATCTACCCAGGTCTCCATTCAAAGTTCCATGGTAAGTTGGCGGATTTCCCTGGTCAGAAGCAGACTTGACATTTATCCTGAAACTCTCATGTCCTCGGTGGTGATGTCCGCTCCTTCATGTGGTGCCACTGGGAACTGCTCGCCTCTGCGAGCTGAGCCAGGCGCGGACACTTGAATGCAAGTGACAGGCATTGGTGACGGACCCATCTACCCAAATAACCCATGTGACATAACGAATGACGAAGTCATATGTATTCTGTTACATGGGTTATATCGTATATGTGTTCTGTGTTGATACTACGGCGTACGTGGAAACCGACGCGCACTCGTAAGGCCCAGCGAGCGTGAAAAGTATGCGAAGGTCTCGGTTTGAGCATAGAAAGTTCGACATCTGTGCAGTGCAAGAGACGAGATGGGCCAGTCGCAAGTCGAAAGAAATTAGGCCGCGGTACCAAAGCCGTTCTTTGTGGCAGGACCAAAATACAAGTGTGGCTGCAATGTGTTTCAGCGGCTCAGCGATTCGATCACTAGCGTAGTTCGACTCGGCGACCATTTAATAAAGATCGTTGTTGCTGCGAGCAACAACTATACCACTTCCTCTTTACATAGGTCGCGCAAACTGGATGCGCCGAGCAGGGACGAGTTCTGAGCTCTGCTGGATGAGAAGGTAGCCTAGGTGCCACCAGAAGACAGTATCATTGTCGCTGACTACCTACAGTCACGGAAAAAAACTTGAAACAAGCCCAAGTCGCAAGCTTTTGGATAAGTTCACCTACAATTTTCAAATTGTATGTGGAAACTTTGTTTACTCAAACCAAGTATGCCTCAAAATGGTGCTCTTAAAATAAAATTGGTCGATTGAATTTGTTACGGGGACAGAATTTGAATTTGTTACGGGGGCAGAATTTTGAAGATTATTGCCGCTGCCACTGTTATATTGGACTGCAAAGTTTCTAGTGCTTTGCGATCCATAGGAAGAGATTAAACCTGTCTGAGTGTTGCTCCCTTCTTCCATTTCCTTTTTTTTACAACTCTTAGGAAACCTATGGTCAAGCATTAAAACTTTGAAAACCGGTCCAATCAAAGTGGCAGCGACATGCCGCATGGCAACAATTTTCAGAATTCCGTCCCGGTAACGGATCTGATAGAGAAACTTTATTTTTTGGAACAACATTCTACGGCTTACTTAATCTGAGCAAACAATTTTTCATGTGGAATTTAGATATTGTATGTAAAACTATTAAAAGCGCGCGACTTGAGCTTCATCCAAGTTTTTTTCCGTGATCGTAAATAGTCACGCGCTGCGCAGGTGGCTATGCTTGTTATATTGGACTCAGATACGGACCACGTAACGCCGACGGTGAGGAAATCCTCGTCGTCATCCTTAAAACAAATTTCGCAAACGTGCTCCCATCTCATCACCTTTCACGGCGGGAGTGAAAGAACGCAAATAGGCTCTGTCCTTACCAAAAATGGCGATCGAGGGAATCTTACAGACACAAAGGTAGCGCCGTATAAAACGATAGCTACGCAGCCCCGTTGATCTACACGCCCAGACTGAAGCAGGTGAAGCGATCCGGTCCGAGAGTATCAAAAGGTGGCAACAGAAGGCAGCCGTGATTTTTCGCACTCAAGTTCTCATCGACGCATCTGTCGACGAAAGCTGGAAAGAAGGAGTTGGTAACCCAGCCTGCTCGCTCCAAACTCGGCATAACGAAGCCTGGACAGCGGAAAGTTAAGAGGGCTGCAGCTCCTGGATGTGGACGGACGACGACACCAAAGCGAAAATTCACTAGAGAAAGAGGCTCTACCATGTGTTTCTTGAGCAGAAGTCAGCTGAGAGTTGTTGAAATTACCAGCAAGCGAGAAGTGCTGGAAAGAAGGTTGTGGCTGCCGTGAAAGCCGCTCACTTCGATGATGTCAGTAAAGTGAAGGCGCACGATGGTGAGCGTTACCTGTACCTTGACTTGCCAAATCTCGTCCCCGACAAATTGAAGATATACAGAAGCTTTTTTTCTCAGCGTAATGACGGATTGGCCATCATTTGACGAACCAAAAAAGGGTAATGCAACGATGGCGTAGATACTAGAGGACATCTAAACTGTTGAATTCAACCTTCCTGCTATCCCTTGTGCGGCACCGAATTCTCGTTCGAAGATATCAGTACAGGGAACGGAAGCAACGTTGACGAAGTTGAAGGGCGGCAAAGAAATACCCGACGACCTGGCAGCAAATTTGTGGAAGTCGCGGCGCTGGTTTTCTGCAGAGTGGTTGACGAAACTCTTTAATCTGCTCGTCGCAAAAAAAGGCGCTCAAGCGCTGGCTGCACAGCACGACGATCCCGATTCGGTAGAGGAAAGGCAGTCCAGCGGACTGCTCAAACCGCTATCCACTTTGCCTTCTCTCGCACACCATGACAGAAACTTTTGAACGAATTCTTGATGGCCGTTTTCGTGACATCGTCCAGCTCTCGACCAAAGAGTGTGGCTTAAAGAGTGTAGCTTCGTGGCGGGCTGCAGCGCTATCGACTCCATATACTCCGCTCGGCTCCTGTTGGAGAAACACCGTGAGAAGCAGAAGCCCGTTCATGTAGCCTTCCCAGAGTTGCAGAAAGCATTTGATCGCATCAGCGTGAAGTACCGAATAGTTTTGTAGGGCACGCCTTACCAACACAACACGGCCCTACTGAAGAGCTGATCAAGTGGATCGCCCGCTTGATTGAAATCCAGAGAACCAAGTGCGGACACCTCGAGGAATTCGTACCGCTGTAGGGTTACACCAAGGGTCTGCGCTCTCCAAACTCTTTTTCTTAGTCGTTATGAATGTCATTCCATGAGATCTTGAGAAAGAAGCTCTTAGGACGCTTCGTTACGCTGATGATGTGATGCTTGCCTGCGATGATAAGAACACGCTCGAGCAATAGGTGCAAGTCTAGACTGAAGGCTCGGCGAAGGGTAGATTCTAAATGAACGTCAAAAAGACTGAGTACTTGACAACCACTCGAAGTGAGGCGGGCTCCATCAGAAGCGATGGCATCGAGCTCACGCGTACGAAAACACCCAAGTATCTCGGATCAGCAATTACGTCCGAGAGAGGTCTTAATTCGGAGGTGACCGGAGCGCCTTATATCGAGGATCTACAGAAATGCCCTTCGATCAGTCGCCCTATATGGTGCTGACTGCTGACCCACTCCCAAAGAAGTCAAAGCCCGTTTAGGTGATGGACATGTAAATGTTGCATTGGACGGAGGTTATGACGCCTCTGGACCAACATATGTAACGATGTAATATACAAGAAGTTCGGTATAGCTCCTATAGCGGACAAAATGCGAGAAACGCGCCTTTGATGGTACGGCCATGTTTTTCGCGCGAAGGCTGACTGCCCGCAGAACTAGGCTTCAGTTGGAGGTGCCCGGAAAGTGACCCAAAGGATGTTTCAAATAGCACTGGCTCGATACGCTGCGTAAAGACTCAAAAGTAGCTGAAATCCACCCGACCAGGCATCAAAAGAGAGAAAGGGCGTCATACATCAGAAAGAGCGGAATCTGCCACCGTGCGCGACAAGCGCTGAAGAATAAGAACTCGAAAAATTTTATTGTGCTCTTTACTCCGCTATGGGCACTGCACTTGTGGAAAAAAATGTCAAAAACCATCTCTCATTCTGCAGTTGCAATGAACAAAGCCAAAAAAACGTTTCCCCAACCTGTTGACCCTTTTCGATGACGTTCGGCTTTTGAACGAAGTTCTGCGCAAGCATATCGTAAGACTGTTTCAATGGCTCTTCAACAGCTGATGCAGGTGAGCTTGTCTGAGATACCTATATAGATATACCATTGGGAGAGGTTGTTTTCTATATAGATACCTATATAGAAAATAACTCTCTCAATGCAGCAGCAGCGGCGCTATACTTTTCAAATTAGACAGTTTTCCCGCACGTTTTTCTGATTCCCCATCTCAGCAAAATGACTTACCTTGTCCGTATCCGGTGAGCTGGCTTGCTGCTGCTCAGCCTGAATTTGGCTACTGCACATGATTCACTATTATCACTCTTCAGATGCTGCTCTTATCAATACTCTTACCGGTAGAAGATCGGAATTTTTAGAAAAACTCACGTTTCTCTCCAGTTGATACCTTCGAAGGAGCTGAACAATGAGAAGTGCAGTTCTTGGATCCTAAAATTTCATGACAAAAGAGGATAAAATTGAATACAACGGAGTCAGTCAACCTGTTTAATGAGCCGTACGATATCTTGCACAGCCTGCTCAACATGCAGTTCTTCTTGAAGACGAGCCTCGGTAGTGGTTAACCGATTGTGCTCTATTGAATGCTTCTAAAAGAAAAGAAAATCGAGTATGAATTAATAATATGCTGTGTGTTATGACGAATATATCCATGGTCGTGCTTAAAGGCATGAAATATCTTTCCCATCCGTTCGGTGCTGCTCTCTTGCGTCAAAGATCAGAAGAGAGAGAGACATATAAGAGATGAGCCTGCGTTTGGTGTTCGCTAGCAAAGCACCATCTACAGACATGATTCGCGTCGTATGGGGTATGTGATATGCCACACTGGAGGGCGAGCTACGCTGCGCAGACGACAGATGAATTGTCTTACCCGGCCGCTCCAATCTGAATGCTGAAGGGACGTGAAATACCGCTAATATTCGGCATAGAGCCTTGCCTGCACTTGGACTCACATGGATTTCGCTGCTCCAATCAACAAAGTGATACAGATCAAGAGTTTGCAGGGCAGCGCCACACGATCATCGAATGAGATACATGGATTCTAACTGTTCGCACACTTAAAGACCGTTCAGAAAACTCTTTCACTGTTGCAGTAGAGCGAGCTATTTCTCGCGTTGTGTTGCAAAATAGGCCAGGGGCCTCGCAGGTTTTTTTTAAATGTCGATTTCTTGGGAATGGGGCTTCTGAAGAAGAGAAAGGAGGAATGTGGTTTATAAGTTGTTGACCGTGCTCAAGCAATTTTAAAACCACTTTCCCAACAGAATACCCCGTTGTGATGATGTGACATCTCAATATCACCTACCAGTTTTCTTGCTTTAAACAGCCATAACTTTCTTGAGATGTGATCCGTTGAGGAATCTGATACAGTGCCGGAATGCAGGAAACTTCCCTTTAAGAAAATTCTTCCCCTGTTCCATGTCCGCTATTTAGAAAAAAGTCATCCTTGTGATTTTGCAACGACAAGTTTGAACGACGCCAAAAGTTTCAGAATACGCCAAAAATCCACATCTCCGGCGCAGCACATTTTCAATTTGTTTGACGAGTGAAGAGTGTGTGACGGGGACGATCCCCTGAGGTGCGGCGCGGGTGGCCTGAAGTGACCTTTGGAGGAGTTTGATCTACATGATCAACCCTCGGGAGGTCCCTCAGGAAAGTGACCTGGAGGCCTACCTATTTAAGCCACTTTACTAGTAGAACGGGGTAACAGGTGGACCTCATTGGTCGACTTCCTAAAGGTTGGTTCTTATCGTTCCCATGACATCATAGTAGCTTTATGACCCTTTTTGAACTTTCCCTGTAGGTTGGAATAGTGTAGGGATGAGTAGTTTCGAAAATGTCTCCGTCGCCGGAACACGTCAGTAGAATAAAGAGTTGTTAACAATCTTGGTGTCGAGCAAATCAATCTGCTGACAGTCCTAGGGACCTTGAGTTGCATAGGGCAGGCTGAAGGTGTTCAATTGCTGCTACTTAGTTGATCACAGTATTATACATTGTACTACGTTGATGAAGCACTTATAGTTAAGAATTTGATCGTCCTGGTTACCTAACTGTCTAACTGACCATTGTTAGGTTTTGTTGCATGAGATATGCTTAATTTCGCTGTTAAGATCTGAGGAAGCTGTTAGGATAGCGAAAGCTCACCAATGAAGTGTACCATTAAAGTCCTCCATTCTCTCAGGAAGATAATCCCAAAAAAAAATCGATCAATGAAAGAAGCTTTTGAGCTACTTCACCACACCCTTTGACAGCAAAATCGATATGAATACTACTGCACAATTGGATATTCCAAGTTTCTGATTACAATTATAGCAGTTGTTTTCCAACATGACGCTTAGCACGCCTTTTGGCGCTCTTTTTGGGCCGAACCCGAGGGAAGGGGAGTGAGGGTTCGGAACCAATCCGCTTCACCCTGGGCTGAGCCTTGGCAGGTGCAGACAACCGAAGTGCTTCAAGACAACAAGATTTCACCTCTATAATGAGGAAGCCCAAAAATCCTAATATGCAGTCCTGTATCAATATTGCCGAACTGCGCCCTGCTGGTGTCAAATATTGCTAGCGCGGACAGCGAATGCTACGTCGTGTTTCAGGGCGATGAATAACCCCTGTGGTAAAAGTATCAGCGAAATGATTTCGAGAGTTTGAGAATATAGTTCATGCATTTACGCATACCTGAAGTGTTGCTTGTTGTTTCTTGTGCTGTAGAAAATGCTGAATGTGTTGTTTGTTAATGTGGCCGACGTCCAGTTCTTTTAGCCACTGTTCTCGCTCTCGATTTGTAGCGTTCTCTCGTTGTTGTTCACGAATGCGCTGCTGCAAGGTCAATTTAGCAATACCACTTTATCACTTTCAAATTTTGCAATTCCTAAGGCAGCGTTCAGACTTCGCGACCGTCGCGCGTTTGATTCCATTGCGCTTCAATGCTGAAAGTGAGTGGACACTGGGGTAAGATGCGGTGACTGGAGCACGGAGCATGCTTTTACCAACATCATCAAACTGAACAGTGTCTATTGCAGAGTATATGGAGGAGGAGAAGCTGCAAACAACTTCCAGAAGAGGGCTAGTTTGATTTACCACTGCCGCATGGAGAAATATGCTAATACCAGCCACGTGGAAATGGTATCTCGCTGCGCCGAATCCGAATGCGCTGACTATTTTGAGGACAGCTTGCTTTTCTTGTGAAAAACCCGATGCACTTCTCAGATTTCAACATTTTGAAATTTCTCAGACTCAATCGCGTGCAAAAAGGGCGGCATCATCATTTCCTCAGAGACCCCTTCAGTAGATCTTACTTGACACTTTGATGGTGCTTCAGTCGGTGCGATCTTTAGTGGAGACCACAGCTCTTCCATAACGCAAGGTTTCCGTGAACTTCCATCCAGTTTGTTAGACCTCTTTCTCTGGAATATTTTTCATAAACGAGTCGGCCAAACGCGTTGGTGCGCAAAGGCCGTTTCGCGCTCCACGGGAGCCATTCTGTGACGCAAATATTCCACCTGTCACCGCTGCAGCGGAGTACGTGGTCAGGCCAGCAGCGTTTGCATTGCGCCATATACAGGGGGGCCAAAAAAAAGTCATTTTGCCTCCATGACTTTCAAGGCGCTATAAGTTACACTTTATTAAATTTTTATCGGACATTTTTACTACCATATTAAAGAGCACATTAAATACTATAATGATACTCCGCCACAGCCTTCTGGAGGAGCGCCATCGAGAGATTCGGCCGCGCGAAAGTGAGTGGGTACCGGAGTTGAGCGAGATCGTTGATTTCTCCGCCACTGTAGACCACCCTCTTGAACTCCGCCCGACTAGGTAACTGAGTGGGTTCAGGTTTAGTTCAGGACCCCGCTTAAATACTCCATCTTTTCCAGGTACTCAACGTTCTTCCATTCCAAGTAGGCGAAAGTTTTTCCAACGCCCTTCGATTAAATGTGTTGTCACCCAATCCTGTAGCAGTACAAAGTTTCCAAGAAGGTACGGGCGACGACATGAAGATGGGATATTCTCCTCGAGTTGCTCGATGTAGCCACCAGCGCACACCCTCAGTCTGGGGCCCACGAAGAAAATATCGGTTCATCCATTCCAGGTACGGCCGGTCCACACCATCAACCCGCGCCTTGGTGAATGGGGTGAAGATGATGTCCTGGACCGTAGCGACGTTGCCGGAGCTGCTCGATGTTTGAGGTCTTGCAGATCAAGAGTACTGGTCTCCAGGTAGCTATCCATGAGTGAATTCATTCAAGAAGTTCGCAGAGCTTTGAGAGGCCACGTCGAATTCCAAAGGCGTCTCCTCACTCAGGCCGCGACTGGAGATGACTTCATATTTTGGTGTACATGAAGGTGAATGGCGGCAGCCGGCTCCTGCTTATAGAGGAAGATCTTGGGTATCTTCCGCCCTGGTACTCATATCCACTTCCTCTGTCTGGGCTGCGAAAACTTCGCTCATATGTGACTCGGCCGGAATGACTTTTTTTGCCCCCCCCTGTACACTGCGAAACAAAATCATAGTTCCACCCATGAATCTCACAAAATGTTGTCTTACACGCGGTTTTCCAGAATGCCCCCATACAGAAAATGTGGCGATTACCAGTAGAAATTCATATGCCAATACCAAACTGTAGCTCGAAAAAACAATTTTTTTTTCGTAAATTTTTCCAAAAATGATCGTTCTGACAACCGCAGCAAAAGTATAGCTTCACCCCATATATCTTCCGGCTACATCTCATTTTTGTTCGGTGAAACTTCTCATCATTATGACTTCTTGCCTCTTCTAGGCTATGGCAAGTGGAACTTCATTAATGGACCTCGAAAAAGGACAGATTATGCAAAGAAGACTCAAAAACTGGTGAATCGTCGAATGGCACGGGATGCGGGTCTCATCATGCTATCAACAATTTTTTC